TAGAGCTAGGTCAGAAAATACAGTGAGAATCTTGGCAAGGGAGAGACCTATTGGATAGAATGCCAACATTGCCATTCAATTTTGGAAATTGCCTGTAAAAGACAAAATGCTATAAGATGTTGTGAAATACACAAAATGCTAAAATACAAGTTAAAAACGTTCTGTATGTGCCAATAACCATACTAAAAAATGTTACACACCTCACTAGGTGGATTGAATGCTGTACTTGGATTTATACTGTACTTGGGTCTTTCTCGTGACAAGCATGGAAATGTACAAGACATATGGAGAAGCAATGGTGTGGTCTTGAGATTTACAGAATGACAACAACACTGAGGTTTCATTTTCTCCCAAATTGCCTGAGGTTTGATGTCAACACCATCCACCAAAAAAAAAAAAAAAAAAGAACTGATGATCTGGCTGCTGTTTGTTCATGGCTTGAGGGATTTATGGGTAACTGTCAAGTAATTTACTCACCATCTGAGTACATGACAATTGATAAACATCCTGCAGCATTTCATGGTCACTGTAGTTTCAGGTAATAGAGTTCCAAAAAGTCTTCAAAATATGGTGTAAAAATGTATGCCCTTATAGATGCAGACTTACTATGCTTTCGATTTCAAAATTTAACGTGGAACTCAGCCACCAGGTCCTTATTTGTACAGTAAGAAAGCAAACATTGTGAACAGACTTGTTGCTCCCATCTCCCAAATTATTATGAATGTGATATTCGAAAATTAGTTTACCAGTTTCCAGTTGATGTTATATTTGCTAACAGTGTACAAGTTGACCAGCATAGGAACTGTACCCAGGAACAAAGTAAAAATTTCAACTAAAATTGTGGTGGACTGATAACTGGTGGTCAGCTTGTAACACCAGCTGAAGTGAATCAACATGGAGCTGAGCATGGATGGCCTGCCTGAGACTGTTGCCAGCATTCAAAGGAGACCTGGAGAGGAAGCAGTGCTGGTTCTCCGTGGTAGTGCTGGTTCTCCTGTTGCCATTGGCTCTCCTGGAGAGCCTGTCCAGCTTTTTTCCTGATTCAAACATGGCTGTTCTCCTCAGAGAACAAGGTCCTCCAAGGTCCTCCTCCAGCAGGACCTTGCTGCTGCAAGAATGGCTGTGGGCCATCTTGGGGGAGCTCTTTGTCACTTCCTGGTTCCAAAGGGGAAGATGTCTGCTGTTCAGTTGCCAGGAAAGCTCATCATTCTGGCTTCTTAATATGAACGTGGCTGTTATCATTGGAGCTCAGGACCTCACTGTCACTGAAGATGGCTGTGATTCTTTTCAGGGGAGCCCTGGTCCTTATCTTGAGTGCTGCTTCCTGGCTCCAGTGTAGATCCCTCAGCCTGCTGCTCAAACTTTCTAGCTTCCACCACTGACCTGTGCTTCACAGCACAGATCTATGAAAAGAGACTTGCATGAGGCATTATTATGGGCTCTAGGTCTTCAGCTGGACCCATGCAGGACGTTGCCATGGGATCCTGGCTAGGGTGGGATGGAGCAGCTGAGCAAGCGATGGGTGAGGCTGAGTGTGTGACACAACTGTTCTCTCTCCAGTGGGTGAAGCAGGCAGTCAGTGAGTTTACACTGACAAGCAAAGACTGAAGCAGAACAAAGTTTGGATGGGGGAAACTCCTTGAAGGTTCCCTGGAGCCACTTTTGGTGCACAAGACATAAATACATCTACAGGGAAAGGGGCCAGAAGTTTGGGTAAAATGAATGAAATGCACGAAAAAGCAGTGTGAAATCCGAGGCTGGCCCTGAGTCCTGGCTGTTTTTGCAACAAAAATGGCTCTACCTTGCAGGGAGTTGGCAGGGCTAGAGGCACTAAAAGCTCAAAATCAGAGGACTATACTATAAAGAGACTGATTCAAAATAAGATGGGTTAGGGCATGCTCACGAATGACTTTCAGAGTCCTTTTGAAGGGTTCCCAGGAACAGGCCATGGGACCACCCACCCTGTCCAGGGCTCCAGGCAGGGGTGGTGTATCCAGGAGCTGTGGCCACTCACCCAGGCAGCGGAGGGCTGGAGAGAATGAATGGCCCCTCCAGGCTGGCTAGGGAGGGAGAGGCAGCAGGCAGCATCTGTGCCAGGCCAGGTACCCCAGGTTACACAGGGGTTCCCTCCTCTCTGTGTGGGGCTCATGCCAAGGAAATGACACATCATACTGGGGCCGGTCCCCTCGGAGTCCAGCAAGGGGTCCTTGGTAAGGAAAGGCTCAGCCCTGACCTCTGAGTGTTGGTCTAATTTCAGAAGGACAGTAGGTCTCCTGAGTCAGCCTACCAAGGGAGCTTTAGAATTTCCTTTGCCCTCTCAGCCTTTTTGGGGGACAGGGCCTCCAGGTATGCTGTAAACGACTCTGCATGCCCAGGGCTGCAGAGATCTCCTCTTCCTCACCCCGAGGCAACTGGAACCAAAGACAATTTCAGGAACCAGTCCACCAGTGGCTTTCTGGTTCTGCATGGCAAGGACTCCACCTGTCCCATGCGTGTGCTCCCCACACCAGGAGGAGCTGGGGACCTGGGCTCTGCAGGCCAGCAGTCTGTTGGTCCATCTTCTCCAGCAAGGTTCCTGCTCTCCAGAGGGCCTGTCCAGACCAAGGGACTGCTGTTGTGACAAAATGCACATATCCCAAATACAGGGCCACCACTGCTCCACGCTCTTCAGAAACAGGCGACAGCTGCTCCCTCCTCCCAACTTGGGGAGTGGGTAGAGGATGCCACAGTCTTCCACTGGCCACCTCACCTCAGGAAGGCGGCGTTCCCCAGCTCGGCTTGGAACCCACCATCTGGGCCTCCCAAGCATTCCCTGCCGGAGTGTACAATGTGGGGTCTGGGCTTGCTAGGCAACACTCCCCGTACCCTACAGCTGAGCAGGGCCTAGGCCAGTATGGGGCCACCTGACCCTGGGGTTCACCTCATGCTCTCCACTGGGATGACCCTCGAAGTGTTACTGTGACCCTCAGGAAGGCATACAGCCCTGAGGTGATCCACATCCTGATGGTGGCAGGAGGGCCACCTGAAGGCTGTGGGGACGCAATTCTTTTTCACATGACTGCGTGGGCCTGGAGGACGAGGCTGGCCTGCTCTCCTTCACTAAGTTCTGACGCCTGGTCACTTACTAGCCCATGGGTGCAGTCCCTGCCAAGAGTGACCAGCTCTCAATGGCTTGGGATGGCTCACCATACCCTGCCTTTTTAACTTTTCCAATGAATTTGAGTCTAGTTCAGGTTTTTCAGGGCTAATTCCTCCCATCCTGCCTGGCACAGCTGTTCACCACCCTGGGTCCAGGCTTGCCGATGTCCCACTGGGAGGAAAGAGGTGGATTTAGTCATAGATAGGCCTCTCTTGCAGTACAGCATGGTGTCTACCAGCCCCCACCAAGAGAGACAGCCATAGGCTGCCCTCAGAGGTCAGCAGTCCAAACCATGACCTCATGTCTGCTCAAGGTCAGTCTGGAGGCCTCGGGGATGAACAGAGCCATGGGAACAGCCATCCTGGAACCACCAGGCCTGAAGCTTGGTTCCAGTCCCTGCGGGGCTGTGGAACTGGCCTCTTGACCTCGGTCAGTCCTCCCATAGCCTCTCCCTCCCTGTGACCTAGGACAGAATGAGGGGCCCTCTAATTGTCTGCTTTCAGGTCTGGGGACTCTCTGGCCCATGGTGGTCTCTTGTCTTTGGGCATCACTGACCAGGGGCTGGGCTATGTCTTCACACCCAGAATCCACACTTGGAAGAACCTGGAACTCCCAGAAAGCCTCTCAGCTGCTTTAACGTTTTTGGAGAGAAAAATGAGACATCAGTTCAACTTGCTCTTTTCCGGGGGCTCAGGTTCCCCCTGAAATGAGTAACCCCAAACACTTCAGTGAGAGCTGCATGCCAGGCTCTGTTCTGGGGTGCTCAATAGCTCCTCTGTGGGGAAGCTGAAGAGGGCTTGGCTTCCCTTGTCACCTCCTCCTCGGTTGGGACTCATGGCAGGCAGACACCTATCCACTGGACAACCTCTGCCTCAAGTAGGAGAGGGCGAGCAGACTCCTGCAGAGCACCCGTTCAGACACCTGGGATCAGCAGGTTAACCACGGCTCCTGGCCTCCTCAGGGACAGAGGGATCAAGAGTGGAGCCCTAAGGGCTGCAGGAGAAAGTACCCCATGAGCGGAAGACCCACGACCATGCAAGCGCTCTGGAGTTAGGGTCAGCGGTACGGTGGACCTGACTCACACAGTCAATGTGTTCCCAAGGGCTGGCCATGCTCAGATTGTCAGCTGCAGGCTTGTGCTCCTCTACACAGCCTTCAAGGCCTCTCTGCTGTACAATGGCAGATCTCAGTGTCCTGAGAGAGATGCTGGCCTGGGACTTCCCAAGGAACCCCGGGCAGAGAGGATGTTGTTATGCTTCTTCCAGGACTCTTCAAGGTTAATCTGTCTCTGAGCCCATCTGGAAGCACAAGCAGCTGGCACTTGGGTCACAACTCAAGATTTTGGTCATAAATTAAAATGAAAATTAAAATTGTCACAACCCAAGTTGTTTATATGCCAGGCCAATCATGACCCAAGGGCCCACTGTACTGTGTAAGGGGAGGTACTGGGATAAGGGAGTGATAGCCTGAGGCCCTGCACGAACCCCAGGACAGGAATGTAACAAAGCTCTACGCCCAGACTGCAGCAGGGCCCAAGCTCGAAAAGGCAGGACACTGTAAATGCAGCAAAGCCACTCAGGTCCCCTCTGCCACCAGGGTTCTCCTGGCTCCTCCAGATAGCTTTGAAACCATGATGTCATGGTTTCCTACAAAGGATAACTGGAATTTCCTGACTGTCCCAAGGTTTTCCAGCCCCCATTCAGGAAAAACTGAGTTACTGTTCTCACCAATGACTATTCCACAATTTCTGATTCCTAACTACATGTACAATTAAACTGACTCTTTCTGACACACTGCTTCACATTTGGTATTCAAATGCATGCAGCAATCTCCCCATAGACACCCACCCGGTTGGCCATACCGAGATCGCTGTTATCCGGAGGGAGTCCACGGTGCAGTGTCTGAACAGGAACCACAGAGCAGGCCCGATCTCTCCTGTGATGAAGCCCTGGGCCTGCGTGGAGAAGGTGGTGCACACGTTTTCTACAATCTTTGCCGCCATGTGATTCACGACACGCTCTTCCTAGAGAAAGCACAGACGAGAGGCTGAAAGGCTGATCTAGGATAAGAAATGTACACATCTCCTGTCTCCAAAACCACCAGGAAGAACGCCTGTATATCAGAGCTGCAGCCCCATCCCTCGTAGGGTTGGCATCCTTGGAGGAGGGGACCTCCCCAGCCAAGGGGATTGTGGAATGATTAAAAATAATGATTTAATTATTCATGAGCAGTCTAACAGAACATGGTTCTCCACATAGTCTAGCAGCTATCAGAATACAATTTCTCTGTATATCTTAAAGATCAGTCCAGGTGTGGTGGCACATACCTATAATCCCAGCAAGAGGCTCACAAGTTTCAGGCCAATCTGAGAAACTCAGCAAGATGCCATCTCAAGACTTTAAAAAATAAATAAACAAAAAGGCTGAGATGTAGAGTTCGGCATTCCCTGGGTTCAACCCCAGCACCAAAATTTAACACAATAATCTGGGAAACAAGTAACACAAGTATAACACAAATATCAGATGATGTTTTTAAAGCTACCAGGAGCAGAAAGAATGACTCATGTCCCCAGGATTAGGAGGGACCTGCATGCCCCTCAGCCAGGATGGAAAGGACACTACAGGTCACCCAACAAGTCCTAAGGATATGCTGCCTCACCAGCAGGACAGAAAGTATTCCAGCTCATTCTAGCAGAGCTCAAAAGTTGGCCTCAAACTCTTTTCAAGTCATGCAAGCAAGTCTAAGAAAATATTCAAAATGCTTGAAGGATCACAAGAAAAATTCAATACCCAACAATATAAAAGCCATAGCATCTCATATGTAATTAACCAAGCTGCCGAGCATGAGCGCAGAATCCCTAAGAAAATTCCACCACGGGAAGTGCTAACTGGCTTAGTCCAGCGGTGTCCCCTGGCTGCTGTCACACACGCAACTGCTTTCACAGGAGAAGAGGAGAGGTGATGAGAGAAGCAGACACTGACACAGGGCTCGAGTCAGAGAATCGGTCCTTGTACACAGCTTGAAATCGGAAAATGGCGAGGGCAGAGTAGAAGAGGAAGATCCACAACAGTGGTCAAGGCAGACACGATTCGGACAGGATCTCAAGAGCACAGCTGAAGAAAGACAGATCGTGGGGCCACATCAAACTAAACAGAGGAAAGAAACAACACACAGCCCTGAAGGAAAGATCCAGAAAGCACACACTGGAGACACTGCGACGCAGATATGTGAGGAACTCAGGCTACTAAATATTAGAAACACAAAGCAGTGCACTTCTATAATCCCAGCACTTGGGAGGCTGAGGCAGGAGGCACTTGGACCGGCACTCACACAGCGAGAGGCTGCACCTGACACAGTGCCATCCTGGGTGCTGCAAAACCGCTGGAAAGGGAGGCTCTGAACCTCCTCACCAGAAAGAAGTGAGAAGCACGCAGGGTGATGGTGTACCTGAGCCTGAGCTGGTAGTTCCAAAGTGGGTGCATACATCCGGGACATCACAGTGCACCCCACCAATACACACAGGTGTTACCTGTTAAAAATAAAACTAAACATTTTTAAGTAAATTGAACATATTTCTGACACACAAAAGCTGAGAAAATACATCACCAGCAGAACTGCACCCCTAATAGTAAAGGAAATTCTTAAGGCAGAAGGAAAATCACAGTGAGAGGAATGTGATCTGCAGAAGAGAATGAAGAATCAAAGCCTTAAATGCGCGAATAAACATCACGGGCTGTTCTTTAACCCTCTGTAAAACACGGGAAGGCGTTTAAAGCAGAGGCAGGACTGTGTCGGGACTGGATGTGTGTGTGTTAGCCAGGATGTGTGTGTTGGGAGGGGTCTAAGCACAGAAGTGGAAGTGTGTCACATTGCAGAGCTGACCAGCAGCACACGCTCTCCTGACCTTCAGCTTTCACACGTGGCTCCTAAGTGAGACATGGGAATCCTCGCGTCATCCACATGTTCCGACGGAGGGAGGCTCCGGGGAAGAGACTGTAAGTTACACAGGGCTCACAGGTGACTGCATAACACATTAGCTGCGTCTCGTATTATATCAGCCATCATAAATTAAAGACATATGCTGTAAAATACGGATAACAAGTAACAAAAAGTCAGTAAGGACAAAGAAAACGTGGATACAACTACCGACCCCAGCCTTCAGAGACGACTCCACTCAAGCAAAGCAGAATGCACACTGCATGAAACATGGTAGGCTGGACCACGTTCCCAACTAACAATCCTACCAGGGAGAAGAAAAACTACGTCACTCAGCAATGACAGAGTTCACCTTTCTCCCCTAAGTTTATGTGTGCTGGGTCATCAGGAAACATCAACAAACTCCAAAGGACTGGATGTGTGTGTGCGTTAGCCAGGATTCCATTAAGCTAAAAACAGCAACCAAAAGATGAAGACAAAACTCAGGACTAGTAGTAAATAAGAGAGACATAGAGTTACTGATTTTAAACTACAAAGCATGCAATGAGCAAAACAAACAAGAAGATGGAAGTTACCAGAAACCAAAGCAATGGAGGGTGGTGAGGAGGGCAGCAGTCACCATAATTTCTCACAGGCCACCTCTGGCCACGCTGGTGCCAGCCCTAGACAGGCATCGTCCCAGAGGAAGAGAGGGCATACGGAGGTGTGCAGGCACAGGTTCCACTCACTGTCGCCCAAAGCTCAACACTTCTTCCCGGGGGAGATTAAACTTAAGGTTGCAACAGCAGCAGCACAGGAGGAGTAACTGTACGTTCCAGGGCCTACCAAAACCAAGGCTGTCACTCACCTCTGCCTTAGGTACCAGTGCCCAAGCCTCTCAGCACAGGACACATAAAGGCTGACATTTCTAGCGCTTCTTTTTCATTCAAGCCAGGTCTCCTCTAATTAAACACATAAACAGTGAGCCACTGTTTTCTCAAAAAGAACAAAGAGTGCCAATTAACAAGTGAAAATTAAATTTCCTCCTAAAAGAATTTTGCTGCATGAAATTTATCTAACGAGCTTTTGTTGAGGAATGAATAATAAAGCCAATCATTTGTTTTCTGAACCTTACATTTTTAAACACAACATACACCAGGTGTCAGTTTGGCACCTTAATTATACAATTATGCGAGCTCAAGAAAAAAAACCAAGCTGATGGGATCCAAATGCAGAGATTCACTTTCCCGTCCACAAGCAGAGCAGCTGCTAACGATCCTCTCAGGCTCCCTGCCTGAATGTGTGCACCACATCGACATGGAAACTCAGCGCCACTGGTCCTAGTATGACACAACAGGATTACAAGGGGAGGGCTCCCTGCTGTCACCTGTTGAGGGGGGCGGCTAGTAGCTGTGTCCTGGACCCAAGAGCCTGAGTCAGGGCGCTGTACTATGGTCTGCCACCAGAAGGCGCCCTTGGGGCTAGCCGTGTCACACCTCAGGGCTCCATCTCTGGGCTCCTGGCTGAGGTCTCTGTAACACCAGGCCAGTTCAGAGTCCCCACGCACCACACTCCTGGACATCAGAGCAGCTCTCCCAGGTCTGTCCCTCTCTTTTGAGCACTAGCCTCTCCCGAAGACAAGGGGACATCTGAGGAACACCTCCACGTCCACAAGGCATCTGACCTGCAGGGAAAAGGAGGCCATCATGCCATGGACGCTGGGGACACGGTCAGGCCACTGCACCTTGGTCACAAGTCAGGGTGACAGGCCACCCCTCCCAGGCGTGCCCCACCTCATGACCCAGGATGGAAGGTCTGTGGCCAAACTGCCCAGATAGCGTTGTAGACAACATGCCTGGAGTAGATGCCCACGCTGAAGCCACTACGAGAGCCCGGAACAGATGAGTTCGTCCTCCACGGTAACTGCAGGTATTCCAGTGTATGCCTCGCATAGCGCCAATGCACCCCAGAGCAAGGCCAGCCTGGCCGTGGATGGCAAGCAAAGTAACTTAGAACTTAACACCAGCACTGCCTTTACCGCAGGGCTCCACAGCCGGAGAAGCAGAACCTCCCCACCACTGTCTCCCCAGAGCAGAGACGAGAGGGGGCAAGGGTCCCGGCAGAGCCACCCACTGTGCTCCCCAGGGCACACGGCTCCTCAGAGTCCTGGGCTTTGGGCAACACTGGTGGGGGGGAGGGGCTGCATGCTATACCTCCAGCCCTGGATTCTGCTTTTTGAGTGATGTGTGCACATTTTTAAGAGGCACAATATGACAGGCTGAATCATAAATAACCTGGATAACAGGCACATCAGGTAATCAGCATACCTGACACCTTAACTTATATTACTTCTTTAAGATGAGTACGTGTAAGTTTTGATTTTTTTCATGTGTTTTGTTTTGTTTGCTACCAAGTATCGAACTCACGATCTCGAGCTTGCCAGGCAGGCGCTTATGCTGCTGAGCTAAACCCCCGGCCCTCATACATATAAGTTTTGAATGTGAGAGAAAATGTGGGACTAAGCAAAAGGACATCTCAATCAATTTTAAAACAGGACAAATAAAACAACATGAATCTGCTAATGCCATAGATTTCTAAACGTAGTGGTTAAAATGGCCACTTTTATGTGATATTTGTCAGTATTTAGTTTTTTCTTAAAGGAAGGATTGGAAGCCTGGTGGCACACGCCTAGAATTCTAGCTTCAAGAGATAGAGGCAGATCACATTCAAGGCCAGCCTGGGCAGCTTAGGGAGAACTTGTCTCCAAATGAAAAGAGCTGGAGACAACTCTGCACTGGCCCCACTCACCCAAGGGCTGACGGAGGAGGGAAAGAGGGTACAATTTTATTGTTTCAACAAAGGTAGAAGAACAGCAGTAACTCCCACCCCACAGAAAAAGTTTAAACTATCTCATCAACATCCCAGAAGAAAAAATTTAAAAGTACGACTAGGCACCATTTATAAATACTAGTCAGATGTCAAAAAGAGTTAACTACCACCAGCACTAGCGGAGTGAAACTTCAAGGCCTTACATGTCTTAGTAACAACACAAGAAAGGAAGAAAGCAAATGATGTACCCAAACCATGTAAAGCTGTGGCTGGGCACGGAACCAGGCTCTGGAGAAAGCATGTCCCTCTCCGCTCCTGGTCTTTGCTGCTCTGTCTCCGGCCAGCGCATGACAGATGACCTCCTGTTTATCACATGAGCCGTGAACAGTTGGCCTGCACAGGAGAGCCAAGTGACAGCCAAGTGCGGGCCAGGGCTCCAGCCGCGTCTTTAGCTCGCCATCCTCCAGTCTGTCCTCCTCTGCCAGGCTTCCCACTGAATGTGCCCCTCGTGCTCGCATCAATGCCTTCTTCTCAAGCCTAGACAAGATGTATTCCCAACGGCCACCCCAGGAAGTATACTCAAAACGCGAGTCCAAAAACCACATAAAAAGCAGCAGTAGCTAAGAAACCCTTGGGGAGAAATGATTATCTTGGTAGGAAAAAAAGTCCCATATATTAAAGAAACCATTAAAATTCAGTGATATTTACACCCTGCAGCACAGACAGACAGACAGACAGACAGAGCAGGGAAAGCCAAGGGAGCCCAGGAAGTGGCATTCACAGCAACCCAAACCAGCAGAGAGGAGAGACTCCAGCGACTCGGGACAAGGGGGACCCACCTTCACTTCCCCAAGGAAAGCAGCACCTGGGGGGTGGGGGATGTGGTGCAGGAAGGGGCGAGAGCAGCTTAAAGCCCTCGTGGTAAACAAATGACAGCATGCCACAGAGAAAACACCAGAGCCCGTCTCCATCACCTCAGAGCAAGGAGGCTCCTCAGGGCAAGGAAAGCAGGAACCGACAGACTGAGACGCACTAGAGGAGGAACCTCTGCCCACCAGCTGTAACCCACGCATTGTCTGACATGATTGCAGACTAAGCCTCTGCAACACCCAGCAACACAAGATTAAGGCCCAGAAACATACAGAACACCCCTGGCTGAAATGTCCCATACCAACGGAGAGGGATGGAGCCCATGGCCTTTGCTCGCAGCCGCAGAACTCCTTACACTGAGACACTGACTCCCCAAGTCGCCCGGGTCAGGCTGAACTTGCCATCCTCCTCTCTCGGCCTCCCCGGGTGCCGAGTGACAGGCACAGGCACACACCTGCTCTCCCTCAGTTTGTACTAAGGGAGGTGGGACTGTCTTCCCAGCGATACACAAACCTGCCATGTGCTCTTCTGCACACTGGCACAGTTCACAAATCACATTCACAAATACCAGCGGGGTGAAAACCACTGCACATAAAAGACTTAACTTATTTGACCCTGAACTAGGTCCTGAACACCTTAGCAATTCTGTTACTTCAAGAACTACTGCAGGGCCAGGGATACAGCTCAGCGGCACAGCACCTGCTCGGCAGGTGCAAGGTCCCAAGTTTGATTCCCAGTGCCAGGAAAAAAAAAAACACTACTATAATTCAGTTCTCTTTTTTGTAAGGACAGAAATCTTTCTTGTAGGGAAAACAACTGCCCCTTTGTTTACCTGTTTTGTAAGGACCATGATAGTACATGTTCTGCAAAAACACATTCATAACTGTTTTTCAAATACAAATTTTTCAAAATTCCAGAGCTTAGAGATCCCCATTTGTGAAAAACACTAACTTGCCCTTCAGACAAGGAAATGAAAAGAACATTCCTGAGTACAAACCGTCTCCCCAGCTCACAATCATTAAAGATCAGTAAGTAACACCACCCACACGGGCTCATCAGGCGTCCGTCCTCGCCCTCCGCATCCAGTGAAAAGCAGTGGTCCCCAGGGCCAAGCTTTTCCTAGGAAAAAACTTAAGTCTTACACATGAGGATTTTGAGGGTCCCTTTCTCCTAGGAAGGCTCCTAAGGAGGTGCCTTCCTCTGCGCTCCTGTGTTTGTTCCCCAACGCTGACACAGCTGACACCCTACGCCTCCTCTTTTCAGCCTGTTCCCGGGGGGAACTGCACCCTCTGCGTCCATGTGCCTACAGGAGCCACACAGACCTTTCGCTCCAGATGACAATGATTAATCCAGTAATGACAAATACCGTGTGACACAGCATCCTGCTCCAGAACCACAGACCCCACTCAGGAGCTCAGGACCGACAGGAGCTGGGCAACTTCGTCACCCTGAGGAACACTGCAGTCCACAGCTCCGCCCTGGGTCACACAGCATCAGATTGCGCACAGCAAACACACAGGAGCTGTATGCAAAGGAGGCTGGCGCGAGCCGACAGGGACTAACCTGCAGCTCATAGCTCGCAACAAACACTGCACATCATTAAGTTCAGGGGTCCCTGGCCAAAACCCCCTTTTCTGAACTCAAAATGACACCTGGTGGGATAATGAGGCACTGGATGCAGAGAACGCTGAGCCAGCAGCAGCTATAACTTGGGGAGGGGATGGGGAAGGACGTGCGGTTGTTACATAAGGTTACACTGCCTGCATCTGCTGCCAGGTGTGGGGAGGAATGCTTAGCAAGTGATGAGAAGCCGGTCCATCACCATGGCGGCAGATGCTTTGCTCGATGATGGGCCAGGGCAGATCTGGACACATCCTAGACTGACAGCTCAGCAGAGCTTTCAGGGCCATCACCACCACGGAGGCCCAGCGCACAGCTTACCCCTTCCCGCAGGCACCTCACGAGCACGGTGTAGGCAGCCAAGGGAACGATCCAGCACTGCCGGGGTGGCTTGCTCCTCTCGTCCTGAAATGAAGCAGAAGGAAAGATGGCGAAGTCAGTGGCACAGAGAGACATGAGCCACCCAGGAGCACAGAACTTGGTAACGTCCTGTTTGGGGCAGCACATGCTCCCCAACAGCTGTGCCTGGTCAGGATCAGGAGTCTTTGAGCACGACACACCCTCGAGGCAGTGCTCCTCTTCGCACAGCTCCTGAGATCCAGATCAGGAGCCACAGGGGAAGAGAGCCCACCTGGGGAACTCCAGGTGGTGACCTGCTCTCCCAGCCTGCACAGCACGACTTCAGCTACACTGGTCGAAAGCTCAGTGTACTAGGCTCAGAGTCATACTCAGTACTGGACATCAACACAGCTGAAGACATGCTGCTGGCTGGTGAGACATGTGGGTGACCGTCTGTGTTTTCACAAAACAGGGCAGAATTTCTTGTGTTGTAAAGGGTTCCTGTTTGATACTAACTTGCCTCTTTCCGAGAGAGCTGACGGCTGCTGTCTGAAGCACAGAGCTGCTGGACACGTTTGCACATCTTTGTCAGCGGCCGTCTTACCAGCCAGCAACTACGGTTACAAGCTGCTCCACCTCAGGACTAATTCAGAACCCCAGTTCCTTCCTAAACATGAGTCCCTTCCCATCCAGCCCAACTGTTCAAAACCTTCGTGGATATCGACAGTCCTGGGCTCTGCCCCAGCCTCAGCCCCACTCTTTCCTTCCTGGCCACTTAGAACTGGACCCCAACACCTGCACCAGCTCCCTACGATGACCTGGCCTTGCTCCAGGGACCCCAGGGGCCGCTGGACTTCCAGGCAGGGAGGAGGACAGGGACACCACTGAGCAGAGTGCCCACCACAGCGCCTGTCTGCAGCTCCAGGCCAGCACGCTCTGGCCACCCCTCTCTGAAACGACCATTTCTCCACTGCACCTCTCCTGGTGCCTAGCCTGCTCTCCTCACCACAGCACAGCTCCTGCCCAGCCTGTGCTGCTGCCCTGGGGCCACAGGACGCCCCCTCCATGCCTTGTTCCTAGGCTCAGTACCCACCTGCTCTACCTTCTCCAGTCCCGCCCCCCAACTTGTGTTGATAGAATCCACCCAGGCCCCGCCCCTGCTGGGCCACACCCATCCCGGCCCCTTCCTGGTGACACTGCACAGTAAGCAAACACCAAGCACTACTTGCTGGGTCACCAGCAGCCCGAGCACATCAGTGCCCTTCCTTGGACCTGCAGCCACACTCAGCCCAGCTGACTTTCCTTTCCCTTCCTTTGTGGCTCACCTATTTTCAAAGAGACTGCTCCATAAAACCCTCGCCCCACCAAAAGCTGTTTGCATAATCCAGGGACTCCATCCTTTCCTGGATAGCTCCCATGAGACGAGGTCCAATGTCAGAGCCACCAAACTGGCCCTCTATTAAAGCAGTCCGGTTGTGTCCAGCTAAAGTGCACACCAAGGAAAGGGTGCTATGATCTGCCACAGAAACAAACAGCATGCAGCCTGACAGAAAGCAGATCAGCTGCTACCGAGGATGCTCCCTGAATAAACTCAGAGGTAAAAGACAGGCTCACTATCTTGATTGTGACATGGTTTCCAGGTGCATGCATAACTCAAAATTGGTCAAATCAAAACTTTTCCTTAAAGCCAGGTGTGGTGGCTCACACCTGTAATCCCAGCTCTTGGGAGGCTGAGGCAGCAGGATTGTTGGGAGTTCGAGACCAGCCTGGGCTACAAAGTGAGCTCAAGGCCAACCTGAACTGCATAGGGAGACCCTGTCTCAAAAAAGAAAAAAAAAACCTTTCCTTAGAATGTGCAGTTTCCTGAGCAGAGTAGTGCACATCTATAATCCCAGCACTCTGGGAGTCTGAGGGTGCTCCCTGAGGCAAGTTCAAGTCCAGCCGGGGTAACTGATGGACTTAGCAAAATTCTGTCCCAAAATTTAAAAATTGTTCAAAAGAGCTTCAAATGTAGCTCAGTGCAAAAGCTCTTGGCTCAACCTTACCACTGTAAATAAATAAATGAATGAATAATTTTAAAAGGACTGAGGGTGTAACTCAATGCGAAAGCCCTGGGTTCAACCCCCAGAATTACAAAAATGTGTAGGTTATTTCATATTAATTATGCAATTGGGGCTGGGGATTTAGCTCAGCGGCATAAAGCTCCTGCCTTGCAAGCAGGCAGTCGTGAGTTCGATCCCTGGTACCGATAAAAAGGAAAAAGACAAAAAAAAAAAAAAAAATTATGCAATTAAATGAAGCAAGGGCAAATACAACAAGCAGGACAAAAGCCTGGACTGCACCCCTAGGGCTGAAGAGATGGCAGGCTAAGGCCTGGACTGTCCCAATCAAAGTATCTGGTTTGATTCTGACATTCTTACAATGCATCAGCGATCTGACAAGAACAGAAAGAATTAAGTCCAAAATCAGACAACTGAAAGCAGGGGTGAGGGGGTACTGATGCCAACTTTACTCTGAAGGCCTGCCAAACACGGCAAACTGGAGCCTGACGTCAAAGCCTTGAGGACCACCCACCACAAGGACCAGGCAGACACCAACCGCAGCCCAAAGCCTGGCAAAGGAGAGTGCTCCCCACCATGGTGGGTGAGCTCCCCTGGAGGTGAGCACAGGGAAGGGAGGGGACAGCTGACCATCTCTCGTCCCTGGGAAGAGCAGAGACAGCTCCCATGCCCACATCTCCACCTGCCTGCTTAGCTTAGTAGGGTGCAGCTCCCCAGGGAAAAAAGCAAGCGTCTACTTGCCGCGTAAAAGGAGGCAAAATAAAAACCTGCTCATGTAGACAAAGTTAACTCTGCAAATATAAAAAAGTAATTATAACACTTGCTTTGGGCAGAAGTAAGCAGATGTGGTACAAGAATGGGAAACAGATGTTTCCCTGTATACTCCTCTTTGTACCCTCCTTTCCCAGGCCCATGAATACACTGGCTCTTCAAAACCTCAGTTCATGGGGGCTGGGGATTTAGCTCAGCGGCATAAGCACCTGCCTTGCAAGCAGGCAGTCGTGAGTTCGATCCCTGGTACCGATAAAAACGAAAAAGACAAAAAAAAAAAAAAAAAAAAAACCTCAGTTCACCTAAGAAAAAATTCAACCACAAATAGATACAAAAAGCTTCTTGAGAGAGGAGGAGAAGCTTTCTAAATGGTATGAAATAACAGTAATGCAAAGTATTGTAAAAATATAAATATTTGCCAACACGTTTTGTGGATAGAAGGACTAAATATCATAAAGATATCAATATTTTCCTGATATATAGAGGCACTGCAATGATAAACATTCATTAGAAGCCTCAAAGTCATAAAGATAGCAGTTCTCAAATTTATCTGCACAATCACAGCAGTTTTTTTTTAAAGATAATTTATGGCATTAGAGAGGCTGATTCCAAATTTATCCTGACACTCCAAGGACCAAGCAGGCCCAGACACCGGTACCGATGCTGAGAAAGGATAAGCAGCTGCCTCTGCCCATCGTGATGCCACAGCTAATTACAGCCCCGAGCGATCACAACACTGTTTCAGACAATGGCAGGAACTGCCTTACAGTGACCACTGTCCAGAAAGCTGGTTCAGTGTCAGTCAATACTAAGAACATTCAGAATATGTAACATTTGACCAAGTTTGAGATCTAAATTCCTTATAAATTTAAAACCTATTTGTATCTTTTTTAAAACCCTTAGAGTATCACACGATATGATAGGCCTAAAATTCATCATTATCTATTCAGTCATATCCTTGATGCATTCATGATGGGACCAGGGTTTGTATGTCTCAATGCCAGGTGGCTCCGAACAAATGGCACAAGCAAAGGGTGACAGCCTGTACCACCCAAGGGGACCATTCCATGCCCCTAATGGATCTACCACCAGGGGGTCAAACAGCAAGGACACATTACAAGTGTTCCCTGTTTTACTCAATAGCACTTGCAACCATGACTTTAGATATAACAAATCAAATCCTACCATCGCAAATCCCACAGCTACTTTGTGTATTTGCACAAAGTAGCATTTTATTTAAAAAGCATCGGTACATTTATGCTAGGGGCCCCATTGGCCTCCTCTCCCCTGAAGGAGTCAGGACTTAAGGGAAGACAGCCTGGAGGGAAGGAAGGAGACAGACGAGATGAGACAGGAGAAGACAGACCCCAGAAACCCTCTTCCTTGAGGCGGAACCCTTCCTGTGCTCCTGGGGCGCTAAGAGAGGCCAAAACAAAAGCTGCTGCGCCCACACTGACAGGGACTGCAGGGTGTGTCCTGACATGTCAGCAATGAGCAGTCTCACCTGGGTGGCCACGAGGTAGAGCAGCTCCCCAAGGGCTGGCAAAAGGCACTGTTTCAATTTGCTGTTCCTGAAGTTCTCCCTGATTAACTCGGTTAACACAGTAATTGCCTAGAAGGGGAAAAAGATACATCATTTCATGTGTTTCTCTCAGTTCTTACCTCTGTGTTAAAAGCAAAACTAAATTTCATCTTGCATTTTTAAGAACTGGTTTCCAAATTATTTTCAAAGCACGGCCTTTAACCTGGAAGAAAAACACTGTAGCTCTCCTAGACAAAGGTTAAGGCACATATGCAGTGAAGCGAATTCACAAAATACTTTTCAGGTTTCAAAGCCCTGCCTGTCTTACCAGTCCCCAGGCTGCTGTCACAGTCTCTAAAGAAGAAAAAGAGGCTGAGAAGGTCCTGGCTCAGCCCAGCCAGGGTCACCTAGACCCTGACAACAGTTCAGGGTGCCTCCACGTTGAAATCCAGCAGCGGATTTCCCAGGAGTGCGCTAAGAAAATCACACGCACACTGAGTTCAGATCCACAGATGTGAATACCAGTTAATCAAGCCGTGAAGCAGGACAGAATGGTTCAAGGAGACACTGCAGCAATGGGTGCACCGCAGTGCGGTAGCCTCTCCCCAGAGAGGGCGGGCAGGGTGCAGGCCACAGACAGGACTATGCCTGCCTGCAGGACAGCAGGAGCAACTGGCAGAGCGGCTCCTCTCCAGGAGGGAGCCCGGTGTCTGATTCAGAGCCTGGTTTCTTTGTATTGGAGGCACAGAGGCCTGGACCCAAGGCTTCACTGAGCTATACACCCAGCCTTACAATTTTTCACTAAGTTGTCCAGACTGGGCTCGAACTTGTGATCCTCCTGCCTCAGCCTGCCATGCACCTCACAAACTTCTTATACTTAGAAATCTCAATTTTTTTCACATAAAGAATTTCTGTAATTTAAAAAGGTTGACTGTTGCTAAACCCACAGACATTTACATTTCTGAGCTTTGTGAATGAAGTTGTTTGCATTGAGAAAACTTCTGAAACAAACACAAGCTCCAGGACACACAGTCTCGGGTCCCATTCTGTAAAGAGAAGCACGGATGAGCTGGAGATGAACGTGGGGTGGTGCGAAGTAGTCACATGGGAGTTTTAAACCGCTTACAGAATTGTACCTCATATGCCATAAACTGTGTATATCGTAAAAGTATAACCGCAGGTCTCGGCAGCACATATCTGCCTGTGAAACCGTCACTATCATAGGAGTGCCGACATCCATGTGTTCCTCAAGGTCCCTTTTAATTCCTCTGTCCACTTCTCACCAGCCATCAGCTGTGATTTCTATGATCAGGTTGCTGTTGTAATCTGGGTTAGTAAGGGAACAGATTTAATACAGGACACAAAATTTATAGAATTATTTACAGGATGAAGGGTTATAATTTATAGGATTGTTTTATAATATTCACCCAGAGTCAAATACAAAAGAATGCTGGAGATCTGACCACATACAAGGGATCCAAAGAATCTGGATCCCACAGCAATGTTCTCCACGGATCCAGCTGAAGACCTAGAGCCCACAGCAATGTCTCATGCAAGTCTGTTTCCATGAATCTGTACTGCGAAGGCCCAAAGGTCAGTGGTGGAAGCCAGAAAGTCTACACCAGCGAGTTGCAGGATCTGTGTGAGCAGCTGAGGGATTTTTCCTGGACCCAGGAAGCGATGCTCAAGGTAAGGACCGAGATCCCCTGAAGAGAACTGTAGCCACCCTCAGTGACAGTGAGGACCCGAGCTCCACTGACAATGAGAATAGCTGAGATCATATCAGGAAAGAAGCATGACAAGCTTCTCCAGGAGAATCAACAGCACCATCTTCCCCTCCAGTTCTGCATTTGTGCTGTTGGCAATGATCCTCATGTGGGCCTCCACCACGAGCACCTTGCTGACTCAGTCCAGCAGGGTGTCACAAGATGCCCGTTGGTTAACCCACCACGGTCGAGTTCTACAGGTTCACGCACACAGGCACAGCACCGTCTTCATCCTTGTCTGGCTTTTTTCACCCAATGCAAAGCAGGGGTGCACCCTGTTGTGGCACTGGCAAGAGGATCGCAGTGGAGCTGTAACCACTCCCTTCTCACCCTTGTCCATGTCAGTACTGTGGCGGTAACACTGCACTGCAGGTCCCCAAGGTGCCCCCGCTGGGGGAAACAGGACAGAGCTCACCTAGGAGCACCCTGAATAATTCTGGCAACTGCATGTGAAGCTACAATCACCTCAAAATTAAAAGCTTAACTCAAAGAAAAATCAACCTCATACTAAATTCAAAACCCAGACCTGGCTTTCTGCTTCAGTTAGTTGCAAGGAATTATAGCATTTTTTTTTTAATTTTTAAATCCACTGGTATTGTCTGTCAGTGAGCATCACTGGAAATTTGAAATATATTAATGCTGCAGGCCATAAAGTGATAAACCTGTCTGGACTGCCTCCAGCATTACAGAAACTGCACTGGGGCTCAGTGTCTTGCAAACAGACACACAGCACGTAACTAATCCCACAATGCTATGGAATTTTACCTCTAATGGTAGTAACTTCAGGTCGCATTAAATAGGACCCAAGGATAGCTAGACTCTCTGAAGTACTATTTGTGTAGAACTTTCATTTATCCTTAAAATTTAAAGAAGCATTATTAAGGAAAGCTAAGAATAATAAGCAAATATAATACGCAGATGGAGATGGCTAACATCAGGGAGAAACCTGCTTGCTGACGCAAGTACACCGGCATTTGAAATGAAATACTAAACAGTGTAAGGCAAAGAGGTTTAGTTCTTCAAACTCATCAACCCATGTAATGTAGGAATCTCATTGTTGGGCATGTTTTCCTGTCATCTCTAAATATCCTATTGGTCTTCAAACCTTGCAATTGAAAGATAAAAATGGGATAGTTATTCAGATATTGAGGTACTATCCTGTGTTTTCTAAAAACCCTAAGTTAGCCAAAACAAGGTGATTTGGGAAGTCTTTTGCTATCCCACTCTGGTCCTGTCAACCTAATGGGACTAATGTTTTGCAACCACAGGCACAATTGGGTGGCTGAACACCAGGAACAGTACTTTAAGGCTGGGTTGCCATCTCCTAAGACTGCTCTGAAAACAAAACCCACTTTATCCTAAATATGAGCAGGCAGCAACAGGACTCTGACTGTATCTGCAGTCACCTGACTGGTAGCTAAGGGTCAGGTCTTCTTCAGTCCTGTACCCTGGACTGGGCCTCCCAAGTCACAGGACACACAGCTGGTGAATCAGGAGACCGCCACAGCTACAAGCTCTGCGGTTACAAAGGTCCTGTTCTGTACCTGTGCAGAAATAACTCACTCGCTCTTGAGCCTCACAAGGTACATATTAAACACTCATGTCAATGGGCACACAGTTCACAGCTACAAATCAACACTGAACTAAGCCACAGGCCTGTGAAGTCCAGACACTTCCCACGATGGCCAGTGTGTTAGTCAGGCAAAGGATAGTTTTCTGTAGTTGTGAATTTGTGTATGTGTGTGTGTTTTCAGTACAAAGGACTGAGTCCATGCCTTTGCTACCTTCCCAGCCCTTTTCTTTCTTTCTCCCTCCCACCCCACAAGGTCTAAGTCACTAACTTGCCCAGCCTGAACCTGAACTTAGGATTCCCAGAACTTGACTCAGATTCCCAGATTACTAGGGTACGGTTATGCACCACTATGCCTGGGTCAAAGGAGAGGCTTTAAACTTTCTGACCTACTGCTGGTGGAAGATACAGCAGTAGTGAGATTATACCAACAACCTAGGATTTTAAATCATATACTGCCTAGTATTATTCCTGAACCCCTGAAATAGGGAGGGTCCCACAATTTCAAATGAAGAGGGAATCCCAGGTGCTTTTCCAGGCTTTTTCTTTCTTACAACCTGACTTTCTTTGTTCTAAACACAGTTATGGCACATAAATAACAGTGTAAACCATGTAGCTGCCCCATTTTTTCATCTGAGTTCTACTTTACTCATATTAAATTGTGGATTCCTTTGGTTCCTGCATACCTGATTAAACCTTGGCTAGTAAAACCACATCTGCAGGCCATCATTTTCACCAGTGCTGGTCAGAGAGGACAACAGCCTGGGCAGACAAGGAGAGTCAGTGACGCAGGGGCAGAAAGACGACAGAATGTCTGAAGAGATTAAATTCTGCTCCGTATTTAGTAACTCTGAAATTGGCCTTGCAAGTGTGTCCCTAAGATGCTCTTTGATGCCATCTGGATATCAAAGCTTCCACATAACCGCTCACTCTCCACCTGCTAACTGAGCAAGCATACACGGCTCTGAGCTATAAATTCCACCCAACCCTGAGATCAGATGAGCAGCAAGGCCGACTGGCTCGTCACTTCCTCATTGAGCCTCAAACGTGCACAATGTCACTGGCAGAGTCCTTCTCTCAAAACTACAGTCAGAAAAAGCAAATAAAATACATAAGTAGATTGTCACAGTCTTTAAACTAATTTTAAAAGCTTAGACATACCAGACACACTATCAATTTTTACTTCTTTACAAATTAGATGTCAACAAATACAACTGCAGACAAAAATTTTGTCATTTCTCGGTCACCAGCCACCCAGGCCCTCTCCCTAACACCACTCAATAGCCTGCTGGGTGCATGAGGACTTCAGTACCCTGCAGGTCCCATCACTGGGCACAGCACTTGATGCTCACAGCTTAAATAAGGAGAAGTTTAATTTAGCTCAGTGTTTTGGGGAATTCAGTCCATAGGGGGCTGGCTCCAAGGAAGACACATCATGGTAGAAGGGTGTGGCAGAGCAGAGCTGCTTAGCTCCTGGCAGCTGGAAGCAGAGCGGGGAGCAGTGCCAGAGAGGAAAAGGAGAGGGACTCTACACCCAGAGTCCCACCTCCAAGATACACCCTGGACTCTGTAGGTGTTTCCTATTCCAAGGAAGCTGACCTACCAGGTTAATAGTCACAATCCACCCTCGTCAACCTTACACCCAAACACCTCTCCCTGAACCACACTTAAAATCTCCAAATAAGGACAGTAGCCAAGTCCAGAACTCTGCCTATCATAATACAACTGTCTGGAAAAATGTAAACACAATAATC